CACTAAACCAGGACTTAACCAGAACTAAAACCAGGACTAAACCAGTTATAAAACCAGGTCTTAAACCCGGTCTAAAAACAGGACTAAACCCAGTCTAAACCAGAACTAAAACCAGGACTAAACCACGTCTAAACCAGAACTAAACCAGAACTAAAACCAGCTCTAAAACCAGATCTAAAACCAGGACTAAACCAGGTCTAAACCGGCAGTAAACCAGGACTAAAGCAGAACTAAAACCAAGTCTAAACCAGGTCTAAACCAGGAATAAAACAGGATTTTACCAGGACTAAACCAGGTCTAAATCAGAACTAAACCATGCCACGGTCCATGAAATACTGTCAGACATAAAATCGGTCCGTGGCTCTAAAAAGGTTGGGAACCACTGTTTTATACTATAGTGCAGACAGTAAACAGTGGACTTTTTTTTTTTTACTTCCAAGGCTGCTTATACAATATATACATACAGGAGCAGGACACATTTTCAAAATACATGGAAAAAAATAAGGTACATGCCCTTCATGGTAAAATGTACAAACCTTTTATGTAATATCTGTACTTTTCCAATACAAACCTAAAAAAAATTGCATTTCCACATTTTCACCATCTCGCATCCAATTTTTTTATATAAAAATAAATAAATTCAGTCTCCATTATGTATGCTTGTACTGTCCACTTCCCGTTGAGTGTTTTGGGGTCTTCTCAGATTGCTTTTGTCATGTCAAACACTGATGACAGCTCACAGTGAAAGCCTCATTTGTTTACATTTTAGTACCCAACACAAACAACTGTGATTGGACAATGCACCTGTCAATCATTGGATAATAAACATATAATATTGCCACAGGGATCAGACTAAAATAATATTACAAAGTCTGGATTTTATGACATATTTATGCTGTTACCGTATTTTCCAGAGTATAAGTCGCACCAGCCAAATGAATAGAATAGGTGTTAATATGTTATCGTAACATATGAACAGATAATTATAGCATAAACAACAGAAGATAAGTTTACCAAATTCACGATCTCACTCCAAATCACTAAATCCACTGAATTCTTTGTCCTTGGTGTCACATTTAGGTATGGTAACATGGAACGTTTAGGTATGGTTTGCAAAGTGTACAGACGTTGCTCTCAATATCACTATAGGAAATAACAAGAATGTATTAGATGCTAGATAGTTTTTACGTCTCTTGTTGAGTCTTTTGTCATGTAAAAAGTCCAGTCTTGACCTGTCCATCATAAATCACCACAGGCCACACAGGGAGACCACCTCTACAAACTATATAATGAGACTGGACTACGGGGGAAAGTGGTAAACAGGAGTGCAAATAATTAACAACGTGCATCTCTTTAATTTTAAATACACAGTTGTAGTGCTTTGTCACCTTTCACTGAGCTTGCACAGCAAAATCTATTCTTGCGAGATTTGTGAGTTGGTTGGTTAGGAGGAGCAGACAGGTGAGGAGCGACCAATCACACTCACCCAAATGAACCAAAACAAACATGGTGATGCTGACATTTTAGCATAAAAATTTACTAGTTTGTTTGTGAAAAATGTGCAGAAGGTAAGCGCTCATCTGGATTTAACTAAAGTAAAATTTTTTGGCTTGTTCCGCTTCGATCAATCAGATTCAAATACTCAGTGTTTTCTACCCACACAGCAAATGAGTCTTTAAAGAAACAAGGACACATCTGTTGCTCACTGGCTTTTATTTTGAAAAAGTCCACTGCAAGCGTTTGACGTCTTTTCTTTACACTTTTTTCACTTCTGCATGATGCAACGTGTCCAAGCCTCCGCGGGCCGTGGCCGGGCCGGACCAACCGTAGACTCTGAGCTTCCGCAGGCTCCTAGCTCCAACCGGGCCACGGGCTCCGGTTCACGAGTCTTTCTCTTTCTTCTCCTTCTTCCAGACACCCCTGAGGCGTCCAAATAGAGGTGTCCAGTGTGATTTTCATCGCTGCGGTCTCGCTTACATAATGCCATTACAGGATATTCACGAAGGCCCGGAAGATTTCATAATATGATCCAGCCCATAACTCAATGAAATATGATTGGCTCAGACAACTGTCAATCTCAAACTTCGTTCCAGCCACCGAAGGCCCCTGCCCCCTGGAAGAAAAGTTGTGATTGGTCCATTTCCATTCCATTATATTAACCCTTTGTTTCCCAAGAAATATTAGTCCAAGTTTATAACAGTGATCTAGAAATTATTACTAGTAGTAGTATTTATTACTCACTGAATAAAAAATATATTAGTAGTACAAAAATTAATTTGATATTTTTTCTTGAGCCTTCAGAATACCTTGAAGGCTCTGAGGGTTCCCCTCTGAAAGAAATACTGTTTCCACAACAAATGTATGACTCTTTCATTTACATTTCCAATAAAAGTGCGCTATATGATACTTTTAATTCATTAATTGGTTTTGCGTATAACATGTGATTAATCGCGATTAATCACACTCGAACTCATGCGATTAATGCAATTAATATTTTTTATTGTTGCCCAGCCCTAAAATAATAATAATAATAATAATAATAATATACATTTTATTTATATTGCACTTCACATAAAATAATCTCACACAGTGCACAACCAATACAATACAATTAACAAAAGCCTTTGGTAAAAAGATACATTTTAAGATTTCATTTAAAAACAGAAGTAGATTGTGGGGCTCTCACAGTCCCCAAATCTCTGCACCCATATTCTGGAACAAGAGGGCAACAAAGGAGACAATGGAGCCATGACTATGTAGAAAATCTTGAACCCCCCCAAAAATAAAAGCTTAATATTATTTTTATTTCATTTATTTCATTTTATTTTATTTTTTTGCAAGCATTTTTTTTTTTTTTTTTTTTCAATTTTCACTCTGCTCTGATAAAACCTTTGGAATGTCAAACTGCTGTGACTCACACTACATTTACATTGACAAAGGCGACAACATGACCCCCCCTCATCCTCCCCCCTTTTCTGTCTCATGTTTTAATTAAACTTTTTGTTGTGCTGCTGGTGGTGACTGTTGCATGGTGCCTGGTGATGACGGGAAGGATAGAGGGAGGGGGCAGAGCAGGTTGGAGTTAAGCCCGACGCGGGGTTTAGAGGCTGGGCTGTTTGGGTGAAGTGGATGTGTGGAGGGGTGGTTGGGTGGGGGGGTAGACTTTTCTGTGGGAGTGAGTTGACTAAGGCATTCTTGTGGAGCTGCCATAGAGTTGAGGTCTGCACCAACCCGGCAGATGCATGCTGGGTAACCCCCCCCTCCCCTCTCCTCCCTGAAATGTGGGGGTGGGTGTTGAAGAGACTGCGGAGACGCTGTCCGTTTATCCCACCATACCAGTGCTGAAAATAATCTGGGCTAATTATGCCAAGATTGTAAACAACAGCACTTTTCAGTAAATAACTATAGATAGTGTCCTTCAGTACAAAAACAAATGTTCACTACTACTACTACTACTTATGCGACTACTATTCCTACTACTGCTTCTTCTATAGTTCAAAGTGCCATTACCACTGATACTACTACTATAACAACTAGTTATGCTGCTACACCGATGGTACTACTATTACTCCTTCTAATACTACTACTACTACTGCAACTACTACTATAATCTATACCATTACTGCTCATGGTAAAACTGCAACTACTTCTACTGTTACTGCTGCTGCCCTCCCGTTCCGGTTTATAGTCCTGTGGGCACATTTCGGATTAAAGAGACAATCGAAATACATGCCCATGAGATTATAAATCCGGACAAGGGGGCTTTTTGACTCTCACACACCTGAGATACTGTCCTGAGGAAGTCAGACTGCAGGTGGCGCTGTTGTCCTGTCTCCTCCGGTTGGAAGACAGCGCCAAAACCTGTATAAATCAGTTGACCAGACACATCACAGCAACACCATGTGACCGCGAGTGAGCAGTCAAAACTGTCAGGTATTAAAACAAACTCTTGGTCTGAAAAAAGAACCTACTGTATTTTCCACACTGTTAGGCATGCTCTTAAGCCTCCAACCCCATCAAAAAAGGACTGTACGACCCGCAATCCAGAGCGCTCTATACACGAATCCACTCGAGTGTCCCAGCACGACTTCAGTAAACTACAAAGCCGCACCACCCGCAGTACGCAAACACACACGGAGCAGACAGTGACCATGCAAGGAAAAACACCCGCAGCCACACTCATCACTCCACGCCAATGAGGAATGGAACGGAGGAGCGAACCGAAAAAGCGAGTGCAATGTGCCACTTCTAGACACAACTGAACAACTGAGTCACTGCGAACACGCCAACAATCCATTGGTCCCAGACAGCACCCTCCCTACACACCACAACTGAACAAAGCCCAGACTCACCGTGAACGCGCCAAACAAAGTCCCACTGAGCCATCTAACTGTTGTGTTTCGTTTAAAGTCCGGTGCTGTTTATTTGTGGAAAAAAGTTCGAAAATAGACCATTCTATGACAGTGTGCCTTATAATCCAGAGCGCCTAATAGTACGGTAATAACATAACTCGTTTTCATGTTTTAAGACTGTAAAAATCAGGTACTGTCACTTTAATATATAGCTGTACATTTATTTATAACGTCACTTTCAATGCACTATAATCCAGACTGATTTAACTCACTCCCAGGTGCTGTGTTTAGGAAATGCCTGTCTCGTCTCTTCCTCAGCTCCAGCTCCAGCTCCTGTTCCGGTCCGTTCCGTGTTTTCCCCCTCCCCCCTCCCCTTCCCTCTGCTTGGGGTGATTACTCCACTCTTCTCCGGGCAGCCTCGGTCCCCTGGGATATCCTAACTTCAGTTCATAACAGACCAGCACTCAGACAGGTCCCCCATAAAACTGTACTTCAAGAAATCCATCTATCGCTACTACTACTACTACTACTACTACTACTACAATGGAACTACTTCTATTATCTACACTTTAAGCTACATGGATGTGATGGAGCGGTCTATTGATTTGAATGGACTTTTGCGAAAGAGACATCACATAGTTTGATTCTATGATTGGATATCGAAGTTACAGAAAGAAGCATGGAGTTATCAAGACTGGGGTGCCGATCCCAGCGGACATTACTGCTGACGATGATGATGTTCAAATTGGGTAAGTTATGGTTTCGCTGTAACACTTATAAGTGTTGAGACAGGTGTAGTAAAAGTTAGAATCACATGCAACGTATTTTCAACCTGTAGTCAGATACAAGTTACAAAATTCAACATTGCAGTTTAAATATTTTTATTGTTTGTGACTTTATAGGTACATTTTTGTAGAATGATGCTTCCTAAGAAGAAGGACATTGTATTTTTAAGCATGGGATCCAAAAAAATATGCAAATACTGTACAATCTATCCAAAAAAACAAACCAAAACAGATAAATAAATACTTATATGCTCAATCTTTTTCAGTATATATTATATGTGGTTCATTCTACAATAGATGATGCTGTTACAGAGTTTGGAATGACTTTTTATGCAATGGACTCTAAGACAGTGGTTCTCCGCTTGCTAACATTTTGGGCCAAATTGAAAAAGTTGAAAAATTTTACTTTATATGACATTATAATTTCACATTTTTATTTAATTTAGTATTTATATTTGACATTAAAAAAATCTACTATTGCTTGCATTTCACTTTCAAATCAGCCTTGGCTCTGACAACTTCACTTCTGTCCAACGTGGATATTAACTCAACAGAAACAACTGCAAGGCAGCCTATAAGTGGCACGTTAATTCTATGGATTTTATTTAATTTATTGATTTATTTTAAAAAAATTTTCCTCGCAATTTTTTTTGACTTTTTGATTTTTGATTTTTGATTTTTTTAAATGAACACAAGTTTTCAGTTTTGCCCAGTGTATTCTGGTATTTGTCTCCAAACATAGTCCCTGTATATAAATCGGGGTTTTCTTGTTTTAAAAGCGACTTAGAGAAATGGTGAGAGTTTTATAGTTCCCTTTTACAAGCACGTAAAATAGTTTTCAGGTTCTCACTGTTTACAAATCATATGTAGGCAGAGTCTTAAGTTGTCATTTAAAGGTGCACTGTGTAACTTTTCTGGTGTGGGGTCCGTCACCTGCTTTTTTCTCTGGATATGTCATTGCTCTGCTTTGAATGTTCCACAATATGACATACATTAAACAGTTTTACCTTACATTTATTTAATTACAGGTGGTTTTATAGCTCAAAAATACCTAGTAAAACAGGCATTTTGACTGTGGGCAGGGTCGCCTCTCCACAAATCTGACTTGTAATGTGGTCTGTTTTGGTGTCCACGGAGAAAAGTACTTGACGGACCCTCTACCAGAAAATTAGAAATAACAAAATAATGTAATAATCAAGTACAGGTAGAAGGAAAAACAAACCAAAACAATGTGAGTCAATAAAAATTTAAAAATACAAAAAATTACAATAACATTTTATAATAATCAACAGTTTATAGTGTGAATAAAACACAAAGAAAACTCATTTCACATTACTAACTACTTAAAGCTCCACTATGTAACTTTTAACCAAAAATCTACTAAAATAACATTGTTGGATGTTTCATTGCACTGAAAAGTAAGTCTCCTTACTATAAACGGGCTTGCAACTCCACAAACCTGACTCTAATTTGGCCTGGTTTTAGCTTTCTCTGTCCATGGAATCATTCAAGTAATGTGCTACCTCCAGAAAGTTACACACTGCATCTTTAAAACTTGTTATACTTTACCTACAGTTTGGATGTAGTGTCTTAATATTTCAGATTTTATCAGATTGTGCACACAAAACTTTTCAAAAATAAAAACGTCAACACATAAATTACAAACTTGCTCAAAGTCAGATTTTCACTCATGACCCTTGCCCTCCTAGAAGTACATAGTATACTCTAGTAGTAGTAGTAACAGAGTAAATATAATGATTACTATACAAGCTACATGAGTTATGATGTAGATTCCTATTGGCTGAGTAGGAGGCGGGGGTCCTGTCTTAAGAAACCCCTTTGACCCATTTTGTTCCCGCGACCTTCGTTTGTGTGGGGCGATGGAGGCTCGTTTAAAAATGACAAATCCTGAGCTCTGATTGGTCAGCTGGCATTGTTAAGGTTCGCCATGGTAACGGGGCGAGCGTGCGGCTGCCTCGCTGCGCCGGGGGTTTTGTTTTGGGGGGCTCTGAATGGAGGAGAGAGAGGGGCAGAGGGGGACGAAGAGGAGGAAGAGGAGGAGGAGGGGGGGTTTAAGAGGCATGGCAAGTGTCCTGGTGATGGTAAAGTTTTTAAAAGAGAGAAAAGAGGGTGAGGGAGAGAAAAGATTTGAAGCTGCACTGTTGGATTGTGGGATTGTTGTGGAATAAAGGCATTCAAGTATTTGTTAGTACTGCCAGGAACTCATGAATCAAAGTAGAATTGGTTGGACTATGTGGTCGAAGCTGAGGAATGCGTTTTGGAAAAGCGTTTGCAAGGTGAACTACGCAGATGTTACTGCTTTCTAGAGAATGTTCCAGAGCAGAGCATTAAAAGTATCTGTCACCATGGAGACAAACAGGCGACGACACCAGGTCTGCAGGTTAGATGTGTGAAGAGGCGACCCCGCTCACAGTACGAATGGTTAGATGGTGTTAAAATAAAGCTCATATCAAAGTCTAAGAGAGCTTTGTTACATGTTTTTTAATTCCAAATTAAATGTTCTGAATGAAATAGTTCTGAATTAAAATGTTCTCCTTCGAGTTTACAGGGAAATAATAATTCCGAATTGAGGTTTACATGGAAAACACGTTAAATTGCCATTATTTAATTCTGCTTAAAGTCCGGGGTTGGGGAAGAGTTCTGATTGGACAGAGACACAAATGTATTTACGACGACCAGAACAAAACACATACTTCAGCTCCTACCGGATTTTTTGTCATCTTGGTTTGTCGTTACGCCATAGACACAAATGTGATCCAAACTGTTTCCGCATTCATTCCGATGATAATGAAGCAGCAGTGGGAGAATACTCTCATCACACATCTGTCAGCTAAGGAGGAGAAGTGAAGAGTGTCGGAGAAGGGAGGAAGAAGACAAACTGAGTCTTCCTCAGCTCACTCCTCACTCCCGCATCCCACTCGCAAATCCATAGAGCAGCGGATGAAAGTCCAGAGCCAGGACTGGTGGAGCCGGAACATCCGGATCACATCAGAAGGGCGACCCAACGAGCATGCACTGAACGACTGGAATTATTTTTAAGAAGAATAAACGTTTACATGATTGAGGAATAAATTATTTTAGCGTTAAAATCGAAATAAGCCACCCACTTACTTCGGAATTAAATTTAGTTCAGAATAATCATTTTCATTAGGAATGAAGAGTTTACATGGTCTTTTTAAAGCATAAATAATATTTTTTTCAGAATTAAATTTAATTATTTTTATTCTGAATTAAACCTCTCATGTAAACGTGGCAATTGTTGATGTTATTGCTTTTTAGAAGATGTTCCATAGTAGGGCATTAAAAGTATCACCATGGAGACAAAGAGGCGACACCACCAGGTCAAGGTACAGGTTAGATCTGTGGAGAGACGATCCTGCTCTCAGTATGAATGCATGGTTTTTAAGGGAGTTTTTGAGCCATAACAAAACCTACAACTTATGTTGGATAAGATACTTTTAAAGTCTTACTGTGGAACATTTAGGAGGTGACAGATCCCGCATTAGAAAAGTGACATAATGCATCTTTAAAAACAAATAAAAATGTTGTTTAACATTAATTAACATAAGATAGACTTTGGTGACATCTTCCTCCAAAATGTGATCTTTGTGTTTTTCCTGACAGAGGATTGGCTGTGGACCTCTCCATTAAAAATATCCAAGCTGATCAAATGACTGAATATTCATAAAAAATGTTTCAAAATTATTAATTACACAGCCCTAGTAAGATCCTTATTTGGTGTTTGGACTAGATTTAGTTTGGATCTAGTCTTGGTTTAAGCTTGTTTAGTGTAATCCTTGCATAGTCCTATTTCACGCTTGGTTTATCAAAGTCTGTTTTAATTGCTTCGAAATTCAGATTTTACCCTGTTTGGTAAAAAAAAACAAAAAAAAAAACATACAGCATGAATATAAAACTGGATGATTTTTGGATTGCAGTCTACTTGTATGTTTTAATTAAAGATGCTCCAACTTAACTTTGTAACTCTCCTCAAAAATATCCATAAAAACCCTACATTCCTATTGTTAGCGAACTCGCTTCTCCACAGATCTGAACTGTAGCTTGGCATAATGGCATCACCTGTTTGCCTGTTTGAAAGGTTTAATGCCATACAATGGATCAACCCATGCCTGATTCATCAGCCAGTTTCACTTTGTGGAAACAGTTTGACCTAACAGCATTAGGGTTAATTCGCTCGACGGTAGGCGGGTACTTTTTTATTTAAACAATCGCTCCTATTTGGTCATGTCGTATGTAATGTGCCAAATCCTGTAGGAAGAAGGGCAATAACGTCTTTCCCCTTGATATAATTTGCTAAACATTCTCTTTGTTTGGGCTTTAAATCCTCGATCTCGGGAATCGTTGCCACCACAGAATGTCTGTCTTCATCTACATCCATCTTGACCGCTTTGTTTACTGTTGCTGTACCACAAAAGGGACCCAGACAGGTGCTTGAGTTTGTTGTCGTGGCTTCACAGCTCTTTGCTGATTGGCCGGTAAGCGGTCTACAACTTCCGGGGTTCTTGCAAACCGTCTAGTGTATTCCAATTCCTGACCTAGTTGCTGGAGAGAAATGAAATTGAACAAAGGCCCTCGTGGTGCCAGCCTGGCTAGAACAACCCAGGCAAACCAAAACAAATCTCCATGGAGACAAGCAGGTAGCAGACTTTCTCACATAATGCACTTTTAAAGTGTTTTGTGACAACTCCAGAATTAATTCCATACTAGAAACTATTCCATGAAAGATCCTATATTACGCTAAATTGATTCTTGTGAGTTTTAAGTCATGATAAAAAGTTGTACCTCATCAAAAACACATTCGGAGTTGTAATTTGTTTCATTCACACATGTCTGAGTAATCCTTTATTATTAGTCTCAAGTTACTCAAAATGCTCTGTTCCACCTTGTGATGTCATGAAGCATCAGTTTTAATATTAAAGTTA